CGTCGGTCTTTATTTTTGGGTGGTTTTTTTTATTATTATTTTATTTTTTTATTTTTTATTTCTTTCCCAGCCTCCGCGCTGGTTTGAGCGGCTCACGAGACGGAAGGCGCCCGAGTATTGTTTCTTGCTTGATGTGGAAGTCGGGGAATTGGGAGCCTTATTGATTTGACCTCTTTTAAATTTCAGCAGCTTCACAAGAGACAGAGTGAGTTAGTAAGGAAGGCAAAATATGTAAGTAATATATATTTTCCTAGCTGAATAGCTTAGGCGTATACGTTACCTTGTGTCTTCTTACCAGAGTGAGGAAGGTCGGACCGCCTTTGCTTTGGGGGACTCTTCTTTCTCTTTTCCTTCCTCTCTTCCTCCTCCCCGCTTCGCCTTCTCCAAGCCGCGGGCGCAGCATCAGCTCTGCTTCCTCCTCCTCCTCCTCTTTTCCTCCTCCTCCTCCTCCTCCTCCTCCTCCTCCTCCTCGTAGGTGTGCATTTTCCTGGCTGGTTGGTATCTCTGACTTGGGCTCTCTTGGTATAATTATTTTTATTATTATTTTTCCTTCGTTACATAGCAGAACTGGGGATTATTATTATTTTATTTTTTTTTTATTTTATTTTTTTTTCCCCCCGAGTTAAATCTGACAAACCCGGCGCTGCTACGCAACTCTGCCCGGTGCGGTGCCGTAGACCTTAATGCTAAACGGCTGCAGCGGGGAACGTGGGGACGCGCGCCGTCCTTCCCGGCGAGCGTAGACCGAGCGGGGAGCGTTGCGTTTGGCTCGCCGGCGTTGCGGGGGCAAACTTTTGCCTAGCGGCCGTGTAACTCTCCTGCGAGTGACTGTGTGCTCTGCCCGCGGCACTGCCGCCCCGTTAACCGCCTTTTTTTGCTTTTTTGTTTTTTTTTTTTTCCTTCCGTAGACCCTCCGCAGGTGCTACAGCCGCGTGAAGGAGCACGGCGTCGGGAAGAGGAAAAGCAGCTACACGTTCGAACAGCTGGAGCAGGTTTTTGGGCAGGGAGGATGGGATTCCCAGCCCTGCCAGCCCGTCCTCATCAACAGCAGCGGTTTGTACCAGGAGCTGGAGTCGGACGGCAGCACCATGGAGGAGTATTCGCAGGAGGACTGGGGAAACCACAGCCAGGAGCTTCATTGCTACCAGACGGGCGAGCAGGAATTGGGTAGGAAATCCCATCTTGGCGCGGCTCCATCCTCTGATCTTCTTACCTGTGCTCATCGCTGGGTCGTGCAGACGTGTCACAGGCTGCTTTGGGTTGGAAGGGACCTTGAAGACCACCTCGTTCCACCCCCCTGCCCTGGGCAGGGCCACCTCCCACCAGCCCAGGTTGCTCAGAGCCCCATCCAACCTGGCCTTGACCACCTCCAGGG